TTTTTCTGTTCCTTTACTCTTATCCTGTGTCTGCCGTGATATCTAACCAGAGGGCTGGAAAGAGGAACCATTGAACAGTTTCTGGTTTGCGGATGCAACTAAATGTCTTATCAGCCCTGGCCAGGCTCCAGCACTGCTCAATTGTCTGAATGTGTCACAAAACAAAGCATGCTAATATGTGAAGCAAGAGTTCAAAGAAGGGGCTATGGCTGCTACCTATATCCTGAAGAGGGAAAATGCTGGAGATGGAAAAGGGTCATTTAAATTAAGATAAAGCTGTCTCTGAGATTTAGCAGCCATCTCAATTGTCATGCACAGGGTATTACTCTCACATGTTTTAATTCCTAACACAGAGCAAGAAGTTATTCGCAGGAAAGGCCTATTCCCCCAAATGGGTGACCTTTGTGGCCTAGATCCAGTGTAGGTCTCAATTTAAAACAAGAAAGAAAGAAAGAAACCTGTTCACCTGATGCTGAATTCTTCAATATCACATACTCAGGAAGGATTAATAGACCACTCTTTAATCTGCCTTCAGAAGTATTGAACTGCCATGAATTTTAAATTGCAAGGGGAGCTGAAGAAGGATTGTTGCCTTCTTGTTCTCTATTCCTTGTGTGAGGGTGCACAGTTACTATAGGGCAAATAACCACTCTCTTCATGAAAGCATACCTGTGTCAGTGAAAATTCATAAGTAAGGATTCTTGGACCCAGCATGGAATTTTAAAAATGTTTATGGTGGTTGCATGGGTATTGGGGCAATTCCCCTGTAATTTGAGTGATTTGGGTTTAAGCCATTGCTCTACCAGATTCAGATAAGAAGTCTTAAACCCACATCTCCCAAGTCATAGGGGAATAGCCCAGCTACCTGACTCTTACTTATTTTGGGGTAGAATGTGTCTTGGTTTGTATATGAGAAATTTTGAAAGGCCTCATTTTCATCCCAATGAAGAACGAGAACCAATTTTGAAACCTGGGCATTTTTCACTAAATAAAATTGTTTTCTGGTCAGACTTCACCGGCCCTAGTGGAGTCTTAATTTTATGGTTTTGAAAAGTATTTTTAAATAAAAATTTCTGTTGAGTTGTGTTATGAAAAATTATACCTTAGATGGCTGTGTTTGGCTAATCAAAACACACAGCTTCTCTTGCAATGCTCTGGTCCTATGGATAGATTGTATAGAAAGGCTCAAAGGTTACAGTTAGCTCTACTGGAATGGACATGGGCAAAGAAAAACTTAAACTGAGTAGGAAGGAAATTATCCTGTAAATGGAATTAATTATACTTTGTGATTGTAGTTTGAAAGTGTGGAAGCCCCTGAGTGCATTTGAAGTTGGAGTACACAGTTATGTTCTATGAGGAGCTTCTGTCCAGGTGGAGGGCTGAGTAGTACAGCCACATTTCTAATTTCAGTATTTGGTTCCTATAATGTTTAATGATTCACATAGTTATCAGAAGACATCTGCAGAATAAATGGATAATGATATTCAACTCCTCAATCTTTTTCTGTTGAACCTATCTCTATATTATACCTCTTGCTTCTATTACAAGCATTATTTGCTAAAGTATGATTCACAGAAGTGTGGAAACAGAATTAATTTGATTAACTCTGTTACATTAGATAATTTGTTGGACAACTAGCATGTTCTTACTATCCTCTTTTTAGTGTTACTTTAATTTTTTTGAATTTCCCATGCAACCCAATCCCATTTGTACTACTGCTGAGCAATCAGATTGTATAGGTTGCTTTTATTTGTATATTTGTAGTATTTAAATCCAGTTCAGTTCACCTTTTCTACATATATGCTGTTTTTTGTTGTTGTTTTTTAGGACTTGCAGTATTAAAACATGTGCTGACACCACGCGTGAAAGCAACTTATGTTGTCATTGATGCAATGAAGACCTACTTAGATGCAATTTATGATGTTACAGTAGCATATGAAGGTACTGTGGACCACAAAGGGCAAAGAAAAGTAGCACCATCTATGACTGGTGAGTTGATATTACTTGTATGTACATACTCTTGTGAAATATAGGACAAAATAGACAGTACAGCTGTAGCAGTTTTCCAGCGATCAGGTGATATAAAATGCACATAAAGCTGATGGATCCAACCTAAAAATACGTCTACATAGGAGATATTTGATTTAAAACATCTCTAGGGGCTTCTACACCTAGGCATGATGATTAACCCTCAGTTCAAGGAGTATTCCTATGGCCAAGTCATCTCTATGTCCTGATATTCCCAGGTAGTTATAATGACCTCTTGAGGCATTAGCAAACAGGTGATACTAATCTTTAGGTTTGTTCTGGCTTCAGGATTGAGAGAGTATAAAGGTGGCTGTAAGCTACCTCTCTTCCTCTCCAGTTTGTCTCTTGTGTGTTATGCTAGAGGTCTGTCCAAGTTTGTGTTAGGTATTTTATACAGGTGAGAGAGGATATAATGTGCTTATTATTTGTAATTGTTTGTAATTATTATTTGACATTTGTTTGCAAGAGAAAGAATATGCTTTCTTTATTTGTACTTCTAAAGAAAAGTATTAAAATATTTATTCATACTTAAAGAATGAAAATATTTTATGCAAACCAGCTTTACTTTTGTGCTATTAAAATATGAAAAGAAAGCAATTAA